GGGGGGGGGGGGGGGGGGGGGGGGGGGGGGGGGGGGGGGGGGGGGGGGGGGGGGGTCAATGTATATAACGTGCAATAAGCCAAGAATTACCATATCCAATGGGAGAAAACAAAACACTTCTATGCAGCTGATAAATTGAATTAACTTTTTTCAACAATCAACAGAAACTGAGCTGAAAAACTTGCAACTCTGCCGAGTGTAAGCAACCCAGAAGCAAAAAAGAACCTGCACATGGAATTGGAAGTTAATGTTCAAAATAAAGAATTACTTTGGTAATGGCTAAGAGGTATATTACTGATGTAAATTGAGATACATTCAGATCAAAAGAATAGGACATCCGTACTAATTTCATGTTGCTTTGCAAAGGAAAAACAAAAAACTCTAGGGTCATGAAACATCGAAACCTTTAATAAACTCAAAGGAGCAGTACAATAACCAAAGACAAACTAAATTGGTGCCAGAGTTGATACAAGCAAACCAATAGGATGCTCATTGTACATCTAGTCGAGCTCCTACAAATTTCAAGAGAAGTGTACATGTCTAATGTCTTGTGACCAGAATCTTCCCTACGACACATAGGATGTTAGGATACACCAGATGAAGGACATTGAAGAATTGATTGAACAAACTTAAAGGCAACATTACCAGATTATTATGCATGTAGGTTGTCTAATTTTAAGATATTATACCACCTTGTACTAAGGCATTCAAAACCATCCCAAGCAGAAACATAAAACAACAATGGTCAGTATGTTGGTAGTAGATCCGTGACACACATACCAAAGTGTGTGTTGCCACTCATTGCGTAACTACAGGTTATAGGTTGTAACCATTCCCGTAGACGAGAGGAGAGATTACAACTAAGATGTACACCCATAGTTAAGGATTAAATCCTAGACATTACCACTTTCTCGTGGAAACCGACATTATATGAATAACGGTAGTACAACAAATGGGGTAAGGGATTTGAACCTACGACCTCGACCTCAAGAGCGAAAGTACATGTCAATTACCACTAAGTTACGCTAATTATGGGAAAATAACAATAAAATTATTAATCGCTTCCACATTTCCAGATCTTTAAGCTTTTAAACGATGTAGATAGTACGCATAATTCTACAGACGCTACAGAACTGATGGAAAATCGTTACTTATACCGATAAATGCACAGACAACAAACTTCAAAATCAACAGTAATCGACCACTGATTTGTGGATAATTTTTGAAGCATTTAAAGTTAACAAGACACGATGCAAAACATTGCTAGAAACCCAAAACACTTCGGGTTACTAAAAACCCAAAAGAGAAGTTTCATAGGGGCAAAACATTGTAAGAACCTAGCCGCAATTTATGGAAGTGACACACGAACAGATGATACCTCGGCTTTCAATCAATAGAAATATACAAAAAGATGTGCAGTAATTTCTTAGACAGACTCTTAATCTATAAACTTCAGCATCGGAATAAAAAACCCTCGTAGAATCAAATGGTTCAATTAACGGCAAGAACAACCAAGCAAAACCCTAATTCTCCGAAAATCCCCCATCTCCATTTGCACCTTCACACCAAAGTAACAAGAACAACAAATGCATTTCTCATCGGAAAACAAAAATTCCCCAAGCAGTCAGCAACTCAAGAGATCAAAAACTGCCCGATCGAACTATGGTGGACAGCGGAAACATCATACACAGTAAGAAAAACAAAACTGAGAAACAAGTAAACAAATTTCGTGTTCAAGTGACGGAAAAGAAAATCCAGATGAGAAAAAGAGTACCTCCGAAGAATCCCCGCGGCTCTGATTTTTTTCTCCGGAACCAAACAGCGAGATTGAAGAATGAGTTGAGAGAACACAAAACAAAAGCTTTGATCGAAGATTTAGAGAGAAGCGTTTGAATATTTATATATTGATTTTAAATTTTAAAATATAATAATATTAGTGGAATTAAATAAATATTATTTTCCAAAAATGGACACGTGTCACTAATTTTCTTACCCATTTTTTTTAATATCATAACCACTAAATTATTAATTTGAGCGTAAAAAAAGTCACTAAATTTTAGAAAAAATTGATTATGCAATAATAATAATAATAATAAAATAAATAAATAAATAACGTATTTACTTTTATTTTAGCCTCCCTTAATGGAGTCCTTTGTTTGACATTTGAGGATTTACCAATTTATTGACACGACTAAGTTTAGGGCATGACTCTGATACCATTTTAGACGAACACATTGACTTTGTATTGGACTTCTCCAAAAGGCCTCGTACCAATGAACAGAGTATTCTTTGTTTATAAACGCATGTTTATTCCCTAAATTAGTCGATTGTAGGACTTTCATCATCTAACAGTGAGCTTAAACAGATTTACGTGAAATTTATGAGTTTAAAAAAAATATAATGTTAATTATGTGCGTTAAATTAAAATTAATTTGGTATAAATTTTGATATTAGTTGAAATATTGGATTTTAAGAGAAAAATAAGAATTAAGAATTAAGAATTTTGTGTATTAAAAAAAGAAATTAATAAATTAATAAATTTGAATTTGAATTTGAATTTTGAAAAGAAAATGATAAATGTTTGGCGACACGTTGAGGTGAGCTGGAAAATCTGAACTCCAAATAAACTAGCCGTTGCTATTTTTTTACAACCCAACAATTATTTTTTAAAAGTATTTTCTAATTATGAAAAATTCTTAAAACATTTTTTTTTTACTATAATTAAAATTTTAATTTGACAATTTTAAGGCAATGGTATAATTAGATTAATTATAAATGCTCTATTCATTTTTTTTAATTATTTTTTGTAAAATTAGAAAAAAGGTAAAATATAATATATTATACATTATATATTGTTTCCTTCCCCTTCAAAAAGTATGGATAATTAGAATTCTAATCATCTGTTAAACAAGGGTATTTTAGTAATTTCAATTGTTTTAAATTATTTGTCAACTAATCGTTTAGCCTTTATTCAATTAAATTTTTTTTTGGGAGAGTTTACATAAGACAGAGTTGTTGAATTAGATTTTAGAAGATATGTGGAGGGCCTGTGCCTTGGACTTTTTAGGTAGCTGGGACGAACACTTACACTTAGTGGAATTTCCATATAACAACTACCATACAACGATAAATGACACCCTTTGAAATCTTGTATGGTAGAAGGTGTCGATCCTCGGTGTTTTGGCAAGAGGTGCGGATCCGACAATTATTAGGGCCTACGTTGGTATTGATGACGGATGAGGCTGTGTAGAAGATCAGAGTATGAATTCAGATAGCGCAAAGTAGAGGAGCTACGTCGACTCCAGAAGAAATGATCTCGAATTTGAAGTAGGAGATCACGTGTTTCTCAAGGTTGCTCCTATGAAATGAGTGTTGAGGTTCGGAAGAGAGGGAAACTTAGCATCCGTTTTATAGGCCATTTGAAATTCTAGAACGTATAAGACTAGTGACATACATATTAGCCTTGCCGCCAACTCTCGTCACTGTCGACAATGTGTTCCATGTATCCATGCTCAGGAAATTAGTCTCATCCCTCATCGAGATCATGCGAGAACAGAGAAGGGTGAGATTTAAGGCGGCTTGCCGGTTGAGGAAGGAAGAAGGGATTGCCATTGTCGAAGGGAGAAGGCACCGGAGTGAGACCAAAACCCACATTCGCCAGAGAAAGCTCGTACCTAATCCACTAGCAATTCGTAACCAATTGGAGATGGAAGTTTAGGAATTCTACTCGCCAGCCAACACGCACGCTCGAACCCATGCGACCCAACGTCGCGCGGGTCAACCCATGCACCCAAACTGATGGTCCCGACCAATTCAATTTAGTTGGGCCAGTTCAAACCGGTTTGGTCCAATTGGGCCCACCCTACCTGATATGAACCAAGAGACATGTTATCGAAAGATATTTCAATTCATGTCACATTGAAGAAGAATGAAGTTTCATGTTATAAATTTTGGGTGGATTACAATTTAGAGTTTATTTCATTAATGTATTTTAAGACTTTTTAGTTACTTTAGGTTACAATTACATAATGGTTATGTATGACCATTAAGTATCAATGTTACCGCTCTTGGAATGCCTTTAATAGTTTCATTTTGAGACTATACAAAGACATGTATGTTGTATTTGTAAGTAGACTTAGAAAATGCAGTAAAAAAAAAGCATTTGTGCTTTCTTTAGCCAATGACTAAGTTTCTTTGAAATTGTATGTAGTTTAGGTTGCATGTAGAATCATTCAAGCTCGACATGATCAATCTTGCTTGTAGAGTGATTCGAATCTCAAACAAGTGTTCTTGCGTTGAGATATTTGATCAACAAGAATCATTCAAGCTAGACATGATCGATCTTGCTTGTGGAGTGATTCGAATCTCAAACAATGTTCTTGCTTGAGATATACGATCAACAACGTAATCCAAATCTTACTCCCCTTGTAGTGATTTCCACATATCACTACCTCTTTTTATGTAATTTCTCGTTTTAACTCCGATTTTGGCGCCGTTTTAACCATTTTTCATCCTTTTTCTCAATCTAAGAACTATTTGAGGAGTGTGGCCAATTTTGAAATCTCCTAGAAATACAAACCCGAATAAAAAAGTGTCACATTTTCCAAGTAAGTGGCACCTCAAAATCTTGGATTTGGTTATTCTCGTACTATGCATGAAAATATGATATAAGAAGCATGTCATAGAAATTTGAGCATGGAATGAGTTGGTTTGATGTACGCAAGAGCACATTAAACATTATGATGCACATTTACAAAGGAATTAATTATTGAGCTATGATTTGACCGAAATTCATAGCATGCCTTTAGTTTGATACAAAGCAAGTTATAGGAACCTTATTATAAATGTTAAGCATAAAATGAGCTGAGATGGTGTATGTTGAATGCTATTATGCATGTGTACTAAACACGCATGCACTAACTTATGAAATGAAATTTATGACTAGGTATCCATGTTTAGATCACTATGCTCTATCTTTATTCCATATGTTGTGATGTATGCGATTGTACGCGGACGATTAGGGGTTTGCCAACTAACTTTTAATTGAGAATCTAACTCGATTGTCAAGGGTCCGGATAACCATAAAACTGACTTAGGATATTTTATGACTTATGACTGTACCCTGCGGGGACTACTGTGATGTTTGCCAATTAACTTCCCGTAGTGAGCCTGTCACGAGTGACAGAGATCTATAGTTGTACTTGACGAGTTAATTGACGATTATTGTTCATGCATGCGAGTTATGCGATTATATGGGGACGGTAGGGGTTCGCCAACTAGCCCCTCATCGTAAATCTGAATCGATTTTCAAAGGTCCAGGTAACCATAGAATTGGCATGATGTTTTACGAGGTATGATTTGTGCCCTATGGGAACTATTAGGAAGTTTTCTAACTTTCTTTTGCTGAACCTGCCACGAGCGGTAGGAGTCCACAATTGCACCTTAGAGTTGGTTGAGCCTTAGCATGCATGAACCCTATGAGATTTATATCGAGGTTGCACCTCGATGACTTAGAGTTATGGTAATGAGGGAGACTAACATAAACAACTAACCCGGAGACCTCAAAAGCTTAAGAATATGTCAAGGGCTAGAGATCCAGTTAGGACCAAGAACTAAGAATGAGATGATTAAACCTAGGGTCTAGCACAGGAGACGCCTATATTGGGGAACTAATCCCCAAATGAGAATAAGAAACCGAACAAGTTAACTAAGATAAATAAAACTTGATAACGAACTATGAACTACTAGCAAGCTACTTACAGAGTATATTTGATATACTCATCGCTGCTATTTTGACTTTTCTTTCAGAGGAGGCATGATGGAGCGAACGAGGCAGAGGCGCACACTAGCTAGGGGTTATGAGGTTTTGATCTAGATCGGTGTCGTGTTCCCCATTGATATGTTTTCCTTTATGAACCCTTAATTTTTTTGTATTTCAAGATTTCACCTACCTATATCATATTTTTGTGTGTGCGCGTATCGGTTGTCAGTATGTAATGTATTTTCGAACGATGTCGTATTAAATCTATATTTCCTCTATTTGCATGCACGTTTAAGAGTTTTAAATCAAATGCATATTTTAAATTATTTCCATGTCAGTGAGTAACAATCCGTGGCTTTAGTCCCTCGAAAAGCGAGTCATTACACACACAAAGTGTCGCTGTGATACCGACAATCACAGTCATACTTTTTTAACCATGCGCTGTCGTGATATTGACATGCTCACGATCACCTTTAGGGGAAACCAAGCTCCATATTCATTCTTCACCTGACTTTGTGGTTTCATTGGACCTTAGGCGAGGTTTGTCTTCGCCAACCGAATGTCACTTATGTGGAACCCAAGCTTGTTCGACCACACACATTGTTTACACGTGCATTTTCAATCGTTTGCAACACAACCGACTTGCCTCTACATTAGGTCAAGTCATTCGAATCGACCTTGCCTCTACTCGGGGCTAAGGTTTCATGCAACATCACATCCCATCATCTCATCATCTCATCTTGATTCCCAATTAACATGGCCCATATGTCTTGACGCCGTCCCAAGTCACGGGTGTCGTCAGTCATTGTAGCTCACTCAGTCATGCCATCAAGAAAAAAAATCCCACGTGTCGTTCATAACATCCAGACATCCCAAACATTCATTCATCCATCTGGGTACTATCAAGGTATTAACCCTCTTGTGCCCATGCCATGTCATTTACGAACTCCATATAGGATAGCATGTGCAAAATCTAACCTCCGACACATGGGCTGGGACACAGTACCAGCACATCCATGCCGTCTGATACTATCCTTGAAAAAAATCATTTCAAAGGAAGTCCCCCAAGACATTCGTTTTGAAATGCTGACCTTCATTGTGACACACACATGAGTCAATGG